TCTGTTCGGTGCCCAGCTGGAAATTCACAAAATATTGCACATTGCACGTGTCCGGTATTTTCTGAATTTTTCTACCGGACCGAGGGCGCAAAAACCGGACACCTGGCAACCCTAACTGGTGCTGTGCAACTGGGAAGTAGAGGGGGGTTTGACCCCTCCTTTGAACAGCCCTTTGAGAAGATGGCTGTTTAGAACTGCAGTGTATTGCTTTCAGCTCTCGTGCTCCATGCAGGCCTGACTGACCTTCATTTGGGGGTGAATTGGGGAGGGGGTTGGATTATTTTTGCTGAGGGGAGACCCCCCCCAAGTGCTATACCTGTGCTGCTGTCGCATTTCAAGAACTGACAAACCCTTAGTTTCACTATGTACCAATCTTGCCCTTAAAAACTCAGATCGCACGCAACTGGCCCCTACTTCGCTGAGCCACATTCTGCTCTCTGCTCTATGCTACAGTCACTTCAGCGGAGCTACTACAGTGCTACAATGGGATGGCCAGGATCAGACTGTGGGCCACAGCTAGCTTACCAGATGTTTCCTGCTCATCTCTGCTGGTGAAGGGTCTGGAAGTTCCCGTCTGTCCTTTCTTGAAATGCCCTTGGCCCTCCAAGTGGATATTTTGTACTTGTTTTCCACAGGGGCCTGTTCTGAATGGAGCAGCCTCTCTCTCGCTGCCTTTAATGCTTACTGCTCTTAGAAAAGAAGAGTGTGCCTCTCGCGATAAGCATGGAGGGGAAGGGTTTTTGTGGGTTGGGGTTTTTGTTTTGTTTTTTGCACTGGCCTATTTTTTACACAGGTTTTCTGCCCTCTGTAGGGTTTGCTTTGGAATCTTAAGAGTCTGACTCCATAAGACACATTAAAAAAGCACTTTGCTCCCACACATGGGTTTAGACTGCAGCTGCCACTCACTTGTTTAATGTCTTGGAAAACTCAACCACAAAATTATCCTGGTGGGTGGGCCTGTGTCTGGAAGCATCATGCCTTGAATAGAAAACGTATCCCGATAAAACAGTGTGCCAGTAAAAAGCTGAAGCAGATAGATAAAGGTGAAGAGGTTCAAAGAATCAAAGTGCTTTGCAAATGCTGATGAATTGATGGTTGGAAGGTGGATCTGTATTGCCTGTTTTCTAAAGGTAGAGAAAGGGGGATGGCAGGGGCAGAGCGAGAGAGAGAACCCAGGAGTTGGGAGTTGCAGACCTGGTGTTTTCTGCCTGGAAGAGGCAAGCCAAGCACAAGGCCAGTCAGGGTTCTGTTTCCTGGCTGGCAAAGTGGATGTAAAATCCTGCATTCTGTGCTAAGTGCTTTTCACTTTGCAGTAGGGTAAATAACTGCGCAAGATAACATCAGTTCAGGCCCAAGACTTCTGCTGCAGGCTCTGACCTGTGTCTTGAACATTTCTAGCTTCACTGCTCTCCTTTCAGCCCCTCCAGTCCCTTTGTGCATCTGTTCTGTCAACGCACCCTGGTGCAGGTGCTAGGGGGCTGAGCGCAGATTACCCCGAAGTGCTGACTTGATTGCACTTGACAAGTTGCATTAAATTTAGAGACAGTGTGCAGAGCGAAAGCCCTGTTTTAGCCACCTTAAGTGGAATTACAATGCTGATGTGTCAGGGCTGTTTTATTTTCTCTGGCGTAGTGTAGGCAGATGGCCCTTTGAGGACGGGCAGTCCCCCTCTGCTTAAAAAGGACAAGTGTGTGGTGATTGCTGGTGGGCGTTTTGTTTTCTTGTTTGCAAAGCTTTTAATATCTGTATCTTATGGGAAGTTGTGTGAGCTAGTGGTTAGATCAGGAGGCCAGGTTCTCAGGATGCTAGCGGTTCCATTACCAGCTCTGGAGGATATCGATTAATGATTAGAGCAGGAAATGGGAATGCAGGATTCCTGGATACTGTTCCCCGGGGGGCGTGGAGGTTAGAGCAGGGAACCATAAAGCGGATTGTCTTATTTCTAGTCCTGAGTTGTCCCTGACTCATTCTGCATCCTTCAGTAATTTTCGTCCCATCCCCAGGCCCCTTTGAAGATGAGGATAAAAGTCCCGACCCTCCAGAGGCGCCTGGCCCGGCTCTGTTGTTAGCAGCGCACTGCGAGAGCCTGAGTGAAAAAGCCACTTGGCAGCCGGGTATTTATTATTAATAAGCATCCTTGTCAAAAGGAAATGCACAGCGCTGTTAGGGGCCGGCACTTACCTCTGGATTGCAGCCATCTGACCAGTGCCTTTCCGCTCTGCCTTCAGGTCTGAAGGTGTGTGGCACTGCGGCAAAGCACATGCCATTTAGTGGGGGCTGACACTCAAAATAGGGTGGCTGCCCTTTGCCACCCCCTCACCCTGCGTCGGTGATCATCCAGTGCGACACACTGTGGTCACTCAAACGTCATGGAGGCAGTGGGAATGGAGCCCCTCCTTGGAAAGCCTAGACCTTCATCTGAGAATTCCCATTCACAGTTAGCCATATAGGATCTAGGACCCACATCTGGGAAGTTCTGATTCTATCCAGCAGAGGGCGGTAGTGTGTCTCCATACACCCGCAGGTGCACAACCCCGACCCCTGCAGGGGGCGATGCCTGTCAGGTGCTAATTTCCCTTCGAAAAACGAGCTCCCCTGTCTGCTTGCTATGGCCTGCTAAAGCCCCGGGTGGGATATTTGACTTGTCTCTTGTATGATCGGTATCGTTCTTCCAACCCTGCGGGGACCTAGGGCTTTGTGTGCACAGGGATCTGCCCTGCCACGTCTGCCAGCGATTGGAGTAGCGTGTTAAAGCCCAAAGAACCCCCTGGGATAAATCTTGTTAAATGAACTAATCTTACTCCCCTTTCAAATGGGGTGTGCGGCGCCCCAGCAGCTTCAAACATCGCCCCCTCTTGGGATGGGATGGGAGAGCACCCGCTGGTCTGACGCGCTTAGGACAGCTGGGGGCGAGTTAAGGAGGCAGCTGGAGGCCAGCTTAGGCCAGAGGCAGATTTTTAGCAGCTACTGGAAGAATAGGCCCAGCGAGGGGAAACTGAGGGACTCAAATTCCAATGCTGAGCCCTGCCCCAGCCTGCTGGTGCAACCCTGGGATTAGAACCAGGTAAGTTGCAGCCTCGGTTCCCTCCCTCATCATCTTGTGTCCCAGAAATATCAACTTCTCCAGGACGTGTCACTAGTTACGGAGCTGGCCGTGCCCGCTATGATGGTACCGTCTGACATCCCGTGCACCGGGGGACTTCCCGGCACATTTTCTGGCTTCAGATCCAGTCGCGGTGGATGGATTGGAGTCGGTCTTCTGCAAAACCCTCCAGTCTTGTGT